TTTAAGGGAATAGGTAATAAGAGTTTGATAGATAGATAGAGAGATAGAGGGAGAGAGAGAAAAAGTGGGCAATTGTATGGTGTGTTTATTAGGTATTGTGTGTCAAGGGTGAAACATATTTACAAAGAGAGGAAGAGTGAAAGAGACAAGAGTGTAGGTAATATAAAATGAGGGAATATTAACGAAAGCATAGGCAAAGTGCAAAGACAATAAATGCAAATGCAAGCAGGACAGATATAGTGTAGTGTAAGCATGTCAATGGTATTTACAGTGCAAAAATTAGGTTCACAAAAAATTTGTGGTAGATGTACGTGCAATATGAATTACGTGATGGTATACAACAATTTTGTTTTCAATTTTGCAATTTAAATTTTGAATTCCGAATTTAAATGTACAATTTCGTTTGAAATTTTAGTAATTTATTTTTTTTTGTGTTATGCAAATTTTCAATTCAAAAATTTTTTTTTTGTGTAGGTGGGTGGGTGGTTGGTGGATTATTTCACAGTTCGATTCATGGTATGCGCATATATGAAAAAAGAGAAAGAAAAAGAGAAAAAACAAAAAGCATGAGAATTATGAAATTTCGTTTTAAGCCAATCAAATTCAACAAAAAAAAAAAACGTTTGCTTAGTTAGATGCTTACTATGATGCAGGAAAATTTTTACTATGTATACCTATGTCTACTATTAATTAATAACAGTAGATAATGAATAAAAGCTTTCTCCCCAAGCTAAAAAAAAACATAAAAGTTAGAACACCAGAGCAAGCTGTGGCTTTCAGCGCACAGGCCGTTATATAATCATAGCTGAAAAGAGTGCTAAAAGCCTAAAAGCTTGGTGTGGAGTTATGCTCAAAGTTCAGTGCTTTTATTCACAATCCACTGTAATATAAATCTTTTGCAATATTTTTTTTTTGTATTAAAACCAAAATGCCTACCAACACTTTTCCAAATGCGCCTGTTGTCATGTACTACATACATACATAGGTACATGCTTTTGGAACTAACTGTAAGCTCTGCAAAATATACATTTATTACTAAATTTTAATTTGCAGCATTTTTTTATAATAAACACCAGCTTATGTGAGTAAAATTTCAAACAAATTAACTACACAGCGCCCACTGTGCTTAGCGTTTTTTTTCGAACTACAAATGTTTTTCAAACGTTTGCTGCGAACGACAATGTCAGCGCCAAAAAAACGGAGAGAGAGAGAGGGCGAGCGAGCGAAAGGCGTATGGAGCGAAGCATTAGAGCATGTGAGTGTGTGTGTGAGTGAGAAAGAGAAAGTTGTCAGTGTTGCATTTTACACGAATGACATTTCAAATGATAAACGACATACATAAATGCACTTGCAGTAATGACTAATGAAATTATTGCAGCGTACAATTTCAAAATGTAGAGAAATTGGTAGCTGCCAGAAAAGACAACTGGGTTTGGCTTGGTTGTTAAAATGATAAAAGTGAATGGTGAGTATCACATGCAAGTGAAAATTAAAGACAAAATGAAACAGAAAAGTAATAGTTTATTAGAGTAAGAGTAAGTAAATTTTATTTTTCACACAAAAGTACATTTGTTTAGTTGGTATGTTTTTGTTTTTGTTTAGTGTTAGACTGATGTTGTTGCATTTGTTGTAGCATCGACCGTCTGCGTTGTTGTTAAGTGGTGTTCCATGATGTTTACTACTTTTTCAATAGTATTTGTTGTTGACTTATTTTTTGTGGTTGCTATTTCCTTACGCCCATAAATGGTTCATAAAATTTCCAGTATTCTAATTTTTTGTGTTGCCAATTTGTTGCCAATTATTCGTTAACTTTGAATTTTAACAAATTTTTTGAGGATTCTGTTACCAATTAAAAAATAATAATAAATTTAAAAAGAATTTCTAAGCAAAAAATCCAATTAAGCAAATTAATAAAAAAATTAGTTTTGTTCAGCATTTACGTTTACAACTGTCAATTTGACGTTATATTTTAACTGTCAATTTGACATATCACGCACTCAATGCTCATACAAAGCGAGCGCTCACTTGCTTCGCGCAACGCATTTTGAAATTACTCAATTATATATGAACTACTTAAAACGAGTATCCTCTCGCACTCACATTTGTAGCGTAGAGTCGCTGTTTCCTGGCTGCTGGAACTGGTAACGCTGCCAATTTCATTCTCTTCGTCATTGTCTGGTTCGAATGTTGGCAACTCGATGGAAACGCGTGTACCGCTGCCGTTGTTGGAGGTAAAACTAGTCGAGCCACTGCTGCTGCTACTACTACTGCTACTGCTGCTGCTGCTGCTGCTACTGCTGCTGCTACTATCATCATCGTCATCGAAATCAGCATCGAAAGAGGTGCGAGCGCGATTGGCAGTATTGCCTTGTACGGCAGTACGCAGCAGAGTGGGCCCCAAAGTGCGCAATAATTTCGAAATTATACGATTCACTTGATCATCGATTTGCTACAACAACATCACAGTCAGAATTGAATTACGTATGCAAATTTATGTAGGTACGATTTGTTCGTTTTTGAAACATTTTTGAAGTAAGAAATGTATGTATTTTTTTTGTTGTGGTGGTATGTTTAAGGAAGATATAAATATGCGGTGGAACTTAGTTGGAATACAGTAAGTGCAAAATATATGTATGCAGGCAGTGCGGAAGAAAGTGGGGGACAAACGCTGTGACAGATTACCTAATGGTCACGAGTACACAAATAAACCAATAAGACCGTTCTTAAATAAGGCAAGGTCGCGACTAAATACATATAAAAACAAAATTCGAAACATACGACAAAATATATAAAAGTATTGCTTAACACTAAGTCGCTGGGTATTTTGGGCATTTAATTATTATTATTATTTTTTTTTTTAGTTTTCATTAAAACACCTTTTTTTTACCAAAATGAAGAGTAACAAACTCGATTAACTCTCATGCCTTTTAATTTAATTATAGGGCGAGAATATGATTTATGAGTGATAATTCTACTGGAGCGCTGATGTTTTAGGTAGTTGAAATTTTTCTAAGTTTTGTCAGTTATTAGTTAGTTACGGTATTTGATTAAACTAAATAACTAGTGCTGCATAAAATGTATTTATTGGAAATTTTGTAGACAATTTCGATGTTCGAACATAATAAGTATATAAATATTTGGCGCTCAGAGGTGTTTGGCCGGGCTTCTACTCCAATTTATGGTGTGCGTCTTGATCTTATAACGCAAATGGAGGGACTTATAATTTAACCCCAATGGTTTTATGAAATGTTTTTTATTTTCATGGCAGAAATATACTCGGAGATTAGGCCAGGGATCGCTTTTAGGTCCTAACGTGTGGTAGTACGCATCTCTAACCGCTACCGGGCTACAGCTGACGTGAGGTTCTAACAGACTTTAACGTCAATATTACCTAAAAATTTTGCATCGATTTTTCTTTTCTGCTGATTTCTTTTAAACCACTTCAGTTACCTTTAATATTAATATAAAAATCATAATCTAATCGCTACAATTCGATTCATATATACCCTATCATAAATATCTGAGTAATTTTCGACAAGAAATAATTTCTATTCTTAAAAATAACCTATATTATTTAAAACTTTTTCGAACTTCAATTATGAACTTTTACGATATTTTTTTTTAGATTTTTATCTAAATAAGGCTTCGATAACCTTACATTGTTTAGAGCGTGAGGTCTCTCGACGAAGGTGGTTAATTGGCTCTATGCGACCGTAATTTAATTAATTAATTTTATTGTTTGATGTCCTCGTGTGGGTTAAGCCGCTGGAGAGCGTGCAAAGAGCGGTCCTAACGTTGGAATCATATCGGCCTTATCCGACCGTTGCTGAGTCCCCTGGATTCTTTACCTTTCGTATTCCTTGAAAGGCAGTTTGAACGGACTGAAATCTTTGTAATCAGGGCCCAGTAAATTTATTTAAGTTGAATGGAGCAGTGGATTGGATGCTTACGAATAGAATACCAGTCAAGGATATGCGCCTACATACACGTGTATATTCGGTAAGCCGAGGGGAAATTAAGGCCATTGGGTCTTTGATGGTATGGTCGAAAACTTTCGGCGATTGCCTTCAGAATACTTGGATACCATGAGTTCCACGCCAAAATTAACTGCAGGGCCGATGAACTGGCAGGGCACTTTGGAGAGGGCTCCTTTTCCCGCACACCTGGTCAGCTCAGTTAGTTCTGCAAGAAACCCTTGGAAGGCAAGGTGATGAAGTCTTTTTGGTCACGCATAGTTTGGAAGCAGTTTTCAGCTAAACAAGGCGCATGTCTCGATACTGGTGTATGAGTCACAAAGTACAGTTTAATTTACTACTCCAGGTGAACGTACTTACGATTGCAAAACTTTAAATTAGTTTTCCTTAAAACTTTGTAGTTTATTGAGACTTGAAAATCGGGTATATATTTTTTTTAGGGTTCGTATGTTTGTTTAATTTCTAAGAACAGAAGCTTCTATCAGGATCGAGACGAACCAGTAAAATATTATATGGGTAACCAGTCCATATAGCTTTGTGTTCAAATGTGCTTACTACAACTCTAAGGGCCAGTTACTCAACGCTTGGTTAACACTAACTCCAGATTATACATTGTTATCGACGTGATCGACTCAAAAAAATATAACAGGGAGTCGATAACCAGTTAGTGATAACCAGGCATTGAGTAACAGGCCATGAAGGACCCAGATATGATCCCTGGCTCAGGAAAAGTCCAAAGGAAAAGCCTTTACTAAAGCGGTCGCCATTCGGCAGGCAATGGAAAATCGACGTGTCTGATTCTCTCATAAAAATGCTTCTAGTAAAAATTAATATATCGTTATATTGTTATAATTTCAAGCCGCAGACCACAAACCGAAGGATCAGTTCAAGCAAATACTACTCAACAAAAAGGTTGGCACAAAACATTTTTTGTAAGCTAAAACAAAATATTATACATTTGCATAACTTGTTGCATAAAAAAAAAGAAAATTGTTTAAAAATGCTAAATTTTTCACCATATCTAATCCTTTAATACCGAAAAAATCCTTCCTCAAATGTATTTATCATACGAATTACAAAAGTCAGAAAAATTTCAATGTCAGAAACCCATTTTTTTGTATCCGAAAACGAAAATCTTAGGCTCGAAAATAATTTTTATTAACATTTTGTAATTTTAATTAAAGTTTCGAGTCTTACGCGCTTTCTTCGTTCTAGGGTATATATCAAAAGTTTACACATTAGGATGCTTTTTTTTAAAATTGATAAAACATGTTGTCCGAGTTATAGCGCCATCAGAATGGGTACTTGACGTCAATGCCGGAAAAGTATGTGAAGGTAGTGGCATATGGAACATAGAGAGACACCACAATGAAGTTGTTGCGTATGTTAACGAAAATCAGCTGTCGCCCTTATTTACATACGTCATTGCAACATTATTTACATACTCCTGAAGTGTCAGTTTAATCCTAAGTGACGTACCAAGACTGACAGCGCTATTATTCGCTCTGGGGGGCTACTCTGTAAACCGATGCGAAAGAGAAATGCGATGCGATAGGCAAAAACGTCGTAGTACTACGATGTGGCGATTGCCCATCGCATCGCATTTCTCTTTAGCATCGCATTACAGAGTATCCCCCCTGTTCTCAAACCGGCCAAGCTAAAAGTAAAATGTTTTTATTCTCGCATACATATAACTTTATTTGCAATGGTTTTAAAATTTTTGCAGCACATGGTTAATAATTTTTATATACACATATTATGTAGATATGGTTCACACAAATTAGTTTTCAATGGGATGATTTAATTACCAGATGACAGTACTCTGAATATGCGCACACAAAATAAATATTTAGAAAGATTCACAAAAACACTACGATGAGAGTGAGCACAGGGGCATCGGGGAGTGGAGAGACTGAGTTCAATAACCGCCAACAGATGAAAATTTGTTAAAATCGACATAGTACAAAGGAGTGAATTAAGTGATTACGCGGTAAACACAATGTAGATAACGAACGTCTGCGATAACAATGGAAACGGAAATACACCATGAGATGCGACAATAGCAACATAGTGAAAAACGACCAAATTAAGTACTCATTAATGCACAAAATGAGTTGCTGTTTGTTGTTGGTGCTTTGTTGCAGATGTGGTGAATATGTGAAAAAAAAAACACGCACAACGAACGTATTTATATGTAGATAAGGTAATACATACTCGTATAAGTACCTACATATGTATTATTTTAAAACGATATTTTGTGAGTTGTAGTAAATGGCGAACGTGGTGAATTGCTGTCTGATCGTACAAGCTAATGCATTCGAATGTTGGCATACATAAATACATATGTTTCTACATATATGTACTCGTTTTGCTGCTGATTACTTGGTGGCTTTTTTTTTATACTCGTTGTTGCTGCTGTTACTGTTTTTGTGTGAATGAAAAATTATTGTTGTAACTACATAAATGCTCTTAGCCGATTACTTAATGGAAATTTCCAGTTCGCTTTAATTTTATTTTTTGCTGGCATTGTACTAAATAGTTGTTATCGCTTGTGGCTGTTTCGGTGGCAATGCTTGTAGTACTTAATAATTGTTGCTATTTATTTACTGTTTCTATATGTACATATTTATATTTTTTGTTTTTTACAATTTTTTCCCAATTAATTAGCCACAGGTAGGAGTTTTGTAATTTTTATAGTTGTATTTAACTCCGTCGATTGTGTTGAAACTGCTATTGAAGGCGTTGTTGTAATTGTATTTGTTGTTGTTGCTGGTGTTGTATTTGCATTATTTCTATTAGTAATAAGAAGATTTGGTGAATTCAATAAACGATTTATATTGTCGACTAAAGCAACAAGCTGTGATCGATCAACATCAACAGCAAACGGCAACGTGGTGGTTTCAAGTGATTGTTGTGGTGTTGGTGTTGGTGCTAAGGATGGTGGAGGTGGAGTTGGAGTTGGAGTTGGTAGTGTGAATGGATTTCGTACTCGTATACTATTTGGCTTGCCGTCTACTGCGCCATCAAATGTGCCCAAATAGGTGGCTGGTATTGTTGGTGTTGGTAGTGTATCGCCTGCAACGATTTCTTTTGTTGCTGTAGCTGTATTTAAAATGTCCGAGATTGTGGTTGGTTTGGTGGGATATTGTATTGATGTGGCAGTGGTGGTAATTGGGATAGTCGAGGGTGTTGAGGGTGTTGAGGGTGTGGATGTGGTGGTGGTGGTGGTGTAGGAACTTTCTGTGTCAGCTTCAATTGTGGCAGATGTTGTGGCTAAATTAGGTATATTTGTGTTGCCTCTATTGGCATTAGTGCTACTCGAACTTTTACCTTTATTTCTAGGTATAACTAATATGGAATTAATGGTAGTGGTGGGCAATGTGACTGGTGAAAGGGTTGTTGGTGCAGGCGTGGGAACGTTGGTAGTAGTTGGTGATGGACTAGCCGCGACGGTAGTTGGATTTGGAGTGGTGAATATTTCAATGGGCCGACTGGTAGTGGTAATTGTCAGTGGAGTTATTGGCTGAGGACTGATTGTTGTCACCGTTGTGCTTGTGATGACAGGCGTCGATATTGTGCTAGTTGTCGTGGTCGTTGTCGCTGTTGCTGCTGTTGTTGATGTTGATGTTGATGTTGACGTTGCAACACTAGTTGTTGCTTCTTCAGCGCCTTGCGCGAAACTCACTTTATTTGCTGCATCCGAAGATGATTCATTCGCTGGCGCGAATGTTGGCAAGACGATGCTTACACGCGTGCCACCAGTATCACTGCTGTCACTGGGCGCCGATGTAGCAGCATCACTTTTGCTGAAAACACTATTTTTCTCCTGAGAATTAACATCATTACTGGAGTCATCATCGTCGTCGTCGAAATCAGCATCGAAGTCTGAACGCTCGGTGGTTGGTCGATTGTTGCCGAGCAGCGCCGGTAGCAGACTGGGACCGGCAACACGTATTACCTGGCCTATAATGCGATTAACTATGTCGTCGATTTGCTATAATGGGAAAGGGGTGGAAGAGTGCACCAAGTCAGAAACAACAATAAAATAGAAAACATTTTGAAACATGGTATCGTTTTTTTTTTTTTTAAATTTCGGTAGATAAAGAAAATTCGCAGTTTTGAATGGTCTTTTTATTAGAATCCTTTTTGAAGCTTTTGGATCGATGCATATGAATGAGCGCAGCAGCTTAGTTTGAGAAGCCAATTGGGTTAAGATTTTTAATTAATTTAGATTTTTTTTCGTCCAATGCAATTAAATGTGATATATTTTAGTGCGGATGAAGAAAAAATATTTCGAACAAATAATTATAACAAAAGTCTGTGTTATCCATAAAAGAGCGGACTGTGGTGGGGAAAAAGTTTTGCGTACTTAATAAGCAGCAAATTATTGCTACAAAACTTTTAAATTTTTTAATAAAAAACTGTTGAAAAATATCGTGTAATCAATTGCTTTATGATCATAAGGAAACCTAATATATATGTAAATAAGCATAAAGAAATATCTGATGAAAATATCTAATATCGTTTATAACGAGGAAAGAGTTTGATATGAAATATTTCTAATTATTACACTGTACATAAAAAAATAACAGGGTTCCGACGACAGATTCTGGTAGAGGCGACTCAAAAAATACGTGTTAAGGTACAACCTCTTTGTAAATTCTTTTGGTAAATGGGCACAAAAAACAATGCAATCTTTACATTTTAGACATAATATTTGTTCTACGCAAAATAAGACGGGAAATATTTATGCGAAATTTTTTTTTAGATGCGCCTTTTTGTATCTTTTGTGGAAGAGGGTAAAAAATGACCATAACAAGGAGATTTAACAGAAAAAAGAGTGAGTTGAAGTGGCTACCTGCATCCAGCAGAGGGGAGGCATGCTTAAGCCCTGTAAGACCACTACTCTACTAAATATGTAGCATGCCTTCCCATCAAACAGTGACCTGTTATAATTCTGGACGTTTGCCTGTGTAGAGGGCGTAGATAGCGGTATGTCCCGACGCGAGTGCAGTTACTCGCAAGCTCGTCCCCATGAGGGTGGTGAACTTACAAGCTAACTTGTTGACAACTTATCTGTATTCTCTAGCCATTTTTGCGAAATTTCACAGCATTCCGCTAACCTTAAACCTGCCTGGCTATCGTAGCAGATGGTTACTCAAGACAGATTTGGACAAAAGTCGATAAGCCAAAGTGCAGCTCCTTTTATAGCAGCATGCAGTAGTATGACAGCTAATACCGAATTGGCTTCCCAATAATGACTAGAAGCAATACGTGTGGATAACTTGTTCTCAATATCGAGAGGCGTGTAATTTCAGGAACTAAAAACTTGACAGCCAATGACGGGAATTCGTTCCAAAATACATCAAAAAATAAATTATCTCACTTCATTTCAGAGCGACAGTACTACGCCGATTTCGGGTTGACATTTAGTCTAGGTTCCCACGATAATCAAGGTATTCTGCAGCAGTTAGCCCCGCACTTGTGGATGGAGCTACACTCAGAAAACAGATAGCTAAATATATTTATATCAGCACAAAAATTGGTAACTGTAAGCGCATAACGACGGTACTTTCGCAAAACCTCGTCTCTAAAAGAACACTCTCTAACAGCCAACTTTCTATTATTAACAAAAAATCATTTTTAATAACTTTTTTTATCTGAATATTAAAGATTAAGTACTTTGAATATAATATATATATAATAAATCTAAGTATTTATGTCCTATTTTGAAAGAATTTTACGAGATGCGAATTTGTTTTGATTTTTGAGATAAGAGGTTTTCCCAAAGTACCGTGTCAATAACTAGGATGTTCAGGAGGTTAGCGTGTATGAACGAAAAAAATGTTTTTCGTAATATTTATTTAAGAGTCACCTGCGTCGGAATCTCGTTATTTCGGTAAAAGTTGCATAATTATCATAACTTATAGAAAAAATAATAATACTAAATATCGCAAATACTCGTAAAAGTTTTCAGTGCAAATTAAACTTTCATGAACTACATACTTAGCAGCACTGGAAAATTCAACTACTGCATGCAACGAAAATCCAAAAAATAAACAATTTGGTTTGAAATAAAAAAATTTTTACTAGATCAACGAAAAATTAAAAGAACTTAAAAAACGTAATTTTTCTAAAAGAATAAGTCTTTGCGCTTTAACACAGACCAACAACTACATAAGGGCATAAAACAAAGGGCTTCAGAATACGCAATAAGCAAAAACTTTCAAAAGCATAACAGTTGCGCGGAAATTGTACATTTCAAATAAAGCTTAAAATATTTAACAACAGTGTCAAGCAGGCCAATAAAACTTTGTTTGTTTAAAAGTCAATTGTTTTGTGAGCCAATTGGATTGCTTTGTATGCATTCATTCGTGTTGCACGTGTTGGTTTGTATGTTTGTGTCTTTTGTAACAAAATTAATGTGTAATACTCTTTGTTAATTTTCCTTCTGTTGTTTGTTTTTTTGGTGTATTGTTCTTTTTTAAGCACTTAAAATTGTGTCTTAAATTTTCTCTTCATCATCATCATCATCATCCTTTTCTTTTGAATTTTCCTTTTCAATTTCTTCGCGCTTTTTCTTGCGTCCGAATTCTATATCTGGCACGAATACTGTTTCGGGTATATCATCCTCGTCGTCTTCAGCACGCAAAGCACTTTCGTCAATTCCACTTGCATTTAGATTATCCTCTTCGGAGAAACTTCTGTCGTTATTGCCAACATAGTCATTATTGTTGGAATTTTCTTTGCTAACGATGTCCTCTTCATCGTTACCAGCAACATCCAACGTTTGGGTATCGTTAGTGCGGCGTCCACTTGTCAACTTTGGATTGAGTGCTGTACCCAGCAATATAGGACCAATTTCTTGTAGTATACGATTGACAAAACGATTTATTTCTTCATCAATGGTCTGAATTATCAGTGCATAAGTTGGAGAAATGGTTTAATTTCAAAAAAGATTTTGAAAAGTAAGTAAAAAAAGTTCAGGAGAGGGGTATTTAATATTTATTATGCTTTAATTAAAAAGCATTACATTTCTGGGAAAAACACTAGTTTCATATTTATGAAAGTACAAGTCTTGATACTCACAAATTTCGAAGAAAAGAAATCAATTTTTTTATAAAAGTATGGTTTATGCTTTAACAAAAATTACACTTTCAAACTTTATACAGAATTTAGAAAAATTCCACAATTTTTTTTCTAAATTTCGAGCTGTTAAACCATATTTTTTTAAATTTTTGGCATATGCAGTTAACAGGATTATACAATTTTAGTAAAATTAGTGCAAGTTTTGAGTAGCTAAAAAAAATCGCACTGATTTTTAATATTTTTTTTTGCTGACGGCTTTTTCGGTTTTTCATATAAAATGTGAAATTTTGGAAAACTGCTTGAAGGTTTTTATTTTTTTTTTCAAAAGGTCTTACGCATATTCATCCACAAAAAAAAATATATATATTATATGGGAAAAAGTTCAAAACGCCGTCAACAAAAAAAAAAGTTATTAAAAATCAATGCGATTTTTTAGTCGCTCAAAACTTGCACTTATGTTAATAAAATTTTATAATCCTGCTAACTGCATACACAAAAAAAAAATCTGGTTAAAAAAGCTCGAAATTTAGACAAAAATTTGTGGAATTTTTCTAAATTTTTATAAAATTAGAAAGTGTGATTTTTGTTAAAGCATTAACCCTATTTTTATAAATGAATATCTAAAAAAATATTTTAATACAATTTTATAACCCTGTTAACTGCATACACAAAAAAATAAAAAATAAATTCTGGTTAAAAAGCTCGAAGTTAAGATACAATTTTGTGGATTTTTTCTAAATTTTGTATATAGTTTGGAAATTATAGCTTGAAAAACATTGTAAATATCAAATACGAAACACCATTCATCCACTTTTGACCGCCACTGTATATACATATGTATATAAAAACGTGCAACAGTAAATTTTACACACAAAACATTTAATATATTCGCGAAGCCATGTGTCAAATATAGTAAAACTACTTTCTTAGTTTTTTCACTGACGTCAGGATTGTTTTAAAAGGACTTTAAAATTTGAAAAATATGATTATGTAAAAAAGTATTAAAAAATTTCAGTGCAATGCAGAACAAGAGTATGGGTA